TCTTCATTAGCATCCTTCATCCGTGACCCATTAGAGGTGTTTTTCTTTTTTTAGCATTACTATGAAGTAAGGGTTTTAAACATAGTTGATATGTTTTAGTCCGTTGGAATTATCCTTTTTAATGCTCAAATGCCCCATCTTTGTGATGGGAATCTCTTCAAGGAATATCTTCTGAATCCTTCTGATGTGATCCTAGTAGTCTTTGATAGTGTCCGTGCTATCTGATATGACAGATATAAATTTCTGCTGCAGACCTAGAAGCATCCATTGCATCAAGGAACCCTGGTTTCTTTTGATGGGAAATGATATTATTTCAGCATCACAGACTGGGCTTATGGGTTCTCGTTGTTTGTGGTTTGTTATTGTTTCTAGGCCATTTCAGTGGACAGATCTAGGAAGTGTGTGTTTGTGTGCGTGTGTGTGTAAGATTAAACACTTTTTGAGTTCAAATTCATACTTGCAATTTGAATTCAGGACTACAAAGTTAATTAACCTGTATTTTAACTGTATTTCCTTTCTTTCATGCCAAATTTCCCATTCTTGAAACACCAGAAAATCCTGTTATTTTTAGTAAAAAGCGACAACAAAGGCTCTCTATGACAGTTGGTATTTCAAGAGAAATGAAATATTCAGGTGAAACAGGAAAAATGGTTTTCACCCATACTAATTATTGCCACTGATTAAATGGAAAGATGATAAATTAGCTTCTCATTCAAGGAGAAGCTAATGCTTAGAAACTAAAATGTACTTTGTACCTAGATTCAAGATTCAATATAAGTGGAGGTTGCTCTATGGTGAAAGAAAATAGATGAGTCTATACTTGTTAAGACATTCAAAAACACTTTTCCAAGTTATATTAGAGGCTCATAGGTGTCTGTATTGAGAAAAATAAACACTTTCGATCGGTCCTTTGCAGCCATCCATAACTCAGGCTCTGTGAAAAATGTTTTGTTTCTAGACCCCTGGCGTGTTCCATTCCTATGGGATGACTCTGGGGCATGTTCACCCTGATTGTTCCGAGCCCATGGAAATCTGCAAGTGACAAGGAAAATAAGATCCCAATAGAGCAAGTCAGGTTTATTTTCTTGAAAGTGTCCTGCACATAGTGAGGAGTAGTAAGAAGCCTGTCCCATCAGTAGGCCAATCCATTTTAAGGCTCATCAAAGCTCTGAAACGAGCCACCACATAAATAAGGATAAACCCAGTCTAATTTCTGAGAAGCCCTTAGAACATTGACGTATCTCCTCATAATCATGTAAGTAACTGTCATGCAAAGTAAAAATGTGACAGTAGATCTTCAAGGAAATGCTGTGGCCACACACAGGAGAGAAACAGGATCAGGGGAATGTGAGAGAGCTCCATGGGACAGGAGCATAATTTTAGGGGAACTCATTCATTCATTTATTCAACTGCTTATCGAATGCCCACCCACTTACTCTGTACCTTGACACTGTCTCACAGTAGACCCAAATAAATCTGGTTTCAAATCCCGGAGCAAGCCCACTACGTTTGTGGCCTTTGGCAAGTTACTAAGCCTCTGTGCCCTAATTTTTCCATCTGCACAATCAGGCACTAATGCCTGTCTCAAAGAGTTTCTGAAGTTAAACAGGGAAAAGACCATATAAATTGCCTAGCACAGTGCCTGGCAGATACACAGCATTGTAGGAAACTTGCCTAGCCTACCCAAAGAGCTTCACTTTCCTCTGTTAGAGGAGAGAAGGAGAGAGAGGGAAGTTGAGAGGGTAGGGGACTTGAGAGATGAGGATGTAAAGGGTTGTTGCACGGAACTGGAAAATAAATAGGCAGACTCAAGTGAAATAATTGCCTAGAGGCACTGAAAAGCCAGCACAAAAAGGTTTGGTCAATGGGTTTGGTTTTAGGTATTTGAACAGAGAGGTGGACAGTGGAGGTTTTCCCAGCTCACTTAATTTTGCATAGTTAGATAACTTGGTGAATTAGAATTTCTTAATTGACAGACAGTCTCCCCATTCATGTTTGCAGGAGAGAGTGAGTGGGGTGAGGGTATGGCAGGTAAGGAGAATCTGTCAAAATGTGAGATTCACCACTGAGAATAATCATTTTTCTTCCCCAGTGGGAAGTGAGTTATCAAATTTAAGAACAATTTCTCTGAAAGAAAATTCACCTCTGCTCTTTCCCACACCCTTACCCTTATTATTTGGCTTTGCAAGCATCCCCACAATATAGGCTTATAAATTTAGTTTATCTCTCCCTTAGCCTGGTCTCCCTTTATTATACCACTTTACTGCTTCTTTGGGGCTGAGACTCTAAAATTTGGGTCAAATGTTCCATTAAGTTAACCACTTTAGAATACCAATACCACTCCTGCAGCACTTTTCATCTTCATAGTGGTTCACAAACATCTCCTTCTTCACTAATGAAGATGAGTCAAATATCTTATAGCATCTAAAACCAAAGCTATTTAATCATTGTCTGATGTGGGAAAGTGAGACAAAATGCAAGACCAACAAAAAAGTATATTACATTTCAAACTTGCTGATTCAAACTTTTGAAAAATTCTATGAACATACAGGCAGAATTCATGCCACAAAATCCTGGTTTTTGTAATGAAAATGGCCATAAACATAATAGCAACTTTGCAGGGGTATATTTAGCTCGTCATATTTTATAGAGTGCTTTTCAATTCATTATTTCATTTGATCTTCATGAAAACTCATGAGAAGAAAAGGAATTATTATTCACATATTTTAGACAAGGCCTATTGTGATTAATTCACATCCTCAAGTTTCCAGTTACTAAAGATTTGTACTGGGACTAGAACCCCAAACTTCACGCTCCAAGTCCCCCACGAGGTTTCCTACCTGTGCTATACAGTTTCTGGAGGTTCCACTGGGGCCCCTCAAAGGATGGGGGAACGGAGCAGGAATGTGTGTGTTCCCTCCTCTTTCAACTAGAGCAGCTCCACAAATATATTGTATTTGGGGCTTCCACATGGATTTCTCCGGTTTGGTTTTATTGCACAGAGCATGCAGCGTCTCCTCTATTGTTCATGATCCAGCTGGACTGTGAGCTGCATTCTGAAGTTACTCAACAGGCCTTCAAAGCTCCACTAATGGCAGGGGCAGTTACATACTATAATCTCTCCCCCTTGCCTGCCCACAACCTTGCATCTATAACACCAGCTAGCTGTTCTCAGCCAGTAGAGCCATCTGATGGATTTTGGATGCACCAACTCTTCCTTGACTTCCTTTTCTTCTATATGAGACATAGCGTGTTTCCTCTTTTACCACTGGCCATTTTTACCTTTGAGGCTCTCTGATTCATCACACAGGCCCAGGGAGTTCTTCCAGATCAGAACCGCCTTGCCATGGTGATGCTGGTGCCTAACACACTTGTGCAGCCAGGACTGTTGAGGACACAAACACTCATACACTCATTCTTTAGCAAATGATTCCATTCCTAAAGAGATGCTCTATGTCTTCCTTTGTCTTCTTTCTTCTCACTTGCACTCTTCATTTTCCCTCTCTTTTGTCTTTCCATGAGCATAAAACAATCAGAACATAGATGACAAGCACAATGCCAGTTACTTAGTATCTGAAAACATTGAAGCCATTACTTCTGAAGGGAAATTAAGCAAGATAAATATCAAGTAGCAAGTGACGACATTTTTTAAGGAGCCTTCAGGTACAGAATCATCGCAAGTCTTCAGATGCTTCGTCTATAATCACTCTCTTTTTACAAGCATGCCTTGAAAACTCATGTCTCCTTTTCATCCTTCAAAATTCAGCTCAAATGTCACTTCCTACAAATGTTTTACTGACATTTCTGGTGAGACTCCATCACCCCTTCTGATGTCTCCTCCAGAACTTTGAACATACCTTTTACTATGGCACTTTACACATTATATTTATTACAATTGCTTGTTTATGTGTCTATATCTCACACTAAACTAAGAATTGGTTTTTGGTTTGCTTTGCTTCATCCTTTTGTTTCAAGCAGCTAATTATACAACCTAGCTGAGCACATTGCAGATGTACAATTTTTTATTGTTGTTGATGAATGTGAATTTAGTTAATTAAATGATCACCGAGGATTCGAGAAAAAACAAGCTCATTCTTACTCATTTTAATCTTATTTCTGGAATAGAATTGCTTTCTACTGTTCTTCACTGAAATTTGAAGTGTTTTTTGTTTTTGTTTTTGTTTTGTTTTGTTTTTGCTGTCATATGAGTTGTATAGATTTTGCTGACAAACTTAAGAATCTTAATTTATACATTGTTTCTGTGGAAAAACACATTTTACCTTCTAAAATGTTCAAGCATACACAAAGAAAAAAGTGGAGTTTTGTCCGTGACTAGTATATCACATTTCCCAATATCTCACATATACTATGAAGGTGGGAGGCAAAATCTCTGTACTTTGCTTTTCATACAAAAGCCTCTCTCTCTCTCTAATTCTGTTTCTCTCTTCCTTTTCTCTGATGTCTGCCTTGTCCCTGCCCCCAGATCTTTAGCTCATTTAGAGAATTCATCTCATTCTCTTCATTCTTCCAAGGTTTATAGTTTGGTTTTCTGTTGTATACTTTATGGTCTACCTTGAATCTGTTATTCACTTATTTCCCCCTGTTGAATCCAGTTGTTAGAGGATGCGCACTATGCATTTTTCATTGTTGATTTTTCACAGTGGGATTTTGAAGTATAATATTGAAATATGGGGGATATTTTGGTTCCAGGTAGGAATAGCTCCTAATTCTTCATCATTTGCCATCTGAGCACAAAGCAGACAAGGTCCAAATTTCAGCCTTCACACTCTCTTTTCTCTCTTTCCCATCTTCCATTATTTTCTCCAGAGATGAAGAGAGATGACATAATCAGGTCAATAAGACATTCGTTTTCATCTTGATTGTTCCTGTCTGGGTGCTTAATTATGAGATGTCAATTATTCAACACTCTAAAGAGCAGTCTTCTGAGCACAAAACGTTTTAGTTGTCTGGTATTAAAAGTGCTTGTTTTCTGCTTTCAGGCTACAGTGGTGGCTGTGTTGCCATGCGAGGAAAGCATCCACTTGGTAGCTGGGAAGTGAAGGACTGTCGGCACTTTAAGGCAATGTCCTTGTGCAAGCAGCCAGTTGAAAATCAGGAAACAGCAGAGCATGAAGAGAGATGGCCCTTTCACCCCTGCTATTTGGACTGGGAGTCAGAGCCTGGTCTGGCCAGTTGCTTCAAGGTGATACCAAGGTTACATGGGCATTCTTAATGGGACTAACACTATTTTAATTTGATCCATGTATCCCAAATTCCTTTATTCCAGGACTCTTTTTTTTCCAGAACAGTGCCTGACAGACAGCAGGTGCTTAATCAACATTTGTTGCCTGTCTCTATCCTTTCAATCATATTCCAAATAATTTTTAAGTAAAAAAAATCGACACATCCTGGTGATATTGAAGGCTTCCTCGTGAAGATTGATATCTGTTCAGCAGAAATACCATGCACTTGGCCAGGCCTGGTGGTTCATGCCTGTAATCCCAGCACTTTGGGAGGCCAAGGCAGGCATATCACTTGAGGTCAGGAGTTCCAGACCAGCCTGGCCAACATGATGAAGTCCCATCTCTACTAAAAATACAAAAAGTAGCCAGGCGTGGTGGCATGCACCTGTAGTCCCAGCTACTTGGGAGGCTGAGACGGGAGAATCGCTTGAACCCGGGAGGCAGAGGTTGCAGGGAGCCGAGACTGCACCACAGCATTCCATCCTGGGCAACACAGCAAGACTCTGTCTCAAAAAAAAAAAAAAAAAAAAAAAAGGAAAGAAAAGAAATACAATTAATCCCTGGAAGGAGGGCACCGTGCTCTGGTTATCACTCCTGGGGGAGAACTCTAAACACCTAACCAGTTTCTGCATAAGTTCCTAGCTCTGACAGGAGGTTTTGCACAAACTTGGCTGCCAGAGTATGAATCTGGTGAGACAGAATTCCCACACAACAAGATGGGCAAAATAACTTTATTACAGGGTGAGTACTCCTTTGCTGAAATGCTTGGAACCAGAAGTGCTTTGGATTTTGGATTTTTTTTTTTTATATTTACATAGTACTTACCAGTTGAGCATCCCAAATCTGAAAGTTCAAACTCCAAAATGCTCTAGTGAGCATTTCCTTTGAGCATCTTGTCACTGCTCCAAAAGTTTTGGATTTTGGAGCACTTTGGAGTTTGGATTTTTGGATTTGAGATGCTCAACTTGTATTCACAGATAGGCAGAAAGAAGCAACCGAAGCCTAGGATCTATGGTGAGATCCCAAGGCTCAGGAAAGCACCCCTGGGAAGATGGAATCTTGTCTGCACACGCCCCACTTTGCAGGACAGCTGAGGGCTCCCGAAAGTGCTCCTTTCTGGGTTTTTATCCCAGGTGCCACCTGGATCACTGAGCTAAAGTATTGCAAGACATCCTACTCTAGGAAGGGTAAGGACGGTTCCTCCTTATCTCAGGATATTGCACTCTTGGTACACTCTGCCTGAGAATTGCCAAGAAAAAGAGGAAGAGCTGGGTCAGCAAGGGTCATCTGGGGACCTGTCCTCCTGCAATATTGTTAATACACCAAGTGAAGGAGGCAGACACTCAGAGGGTGTTAAGTGGTATAATTTCATATTGTTTGTAAACCAACAAATAAAGTTTTTATTATTGAATAATACAATTTTACTAATAAGGATAGCTTTTGCAGCTTGCCAGACACCTGAAGATCAAACAAATTAATGCATACAGTTGATTTGTGTGTGTATAACGTGTGTGTGTGTGTATGTGAAGAAATTTCTATTTTTAAAATCAGCTTTAGATCCTACATTTAAATTAGTTCCTACAATCCTGTCAGAAACACTTTTTACGAGATATGATTTTTTAAAATGTTTGGTGGTTTTGTTTTGGTTTATTTTACAAATAGGGTTTCACTAAGTCTTGGGAGAAGGTTCCCCAGCAGCTCTGCACGGCAGAGCAGAACGAAAACAGACTATCTCTGGAACTGTTGTAGCTTGTACATGGCATGAAGCAGCTGCGAATGTGCTCGATTTAAGTTGCACACATATATAATCCTACATTACATTCATAGAATAATAGGCCCAAAAGTGGCCTCGCCCAGTAGTAAGTTAAACCTTACAGATCAGTAAACTGAGGCATGTGAAATGTAGTGATTTGCCCAAGATCACGATTATTTATTGACAGAGTTGGAAGAAATCCCTGGTTTGGGACTTCTGGTCTGGTGCCTTTTCTACTATATATCACCCTGATATGTCAACAAATGCATGGTGTGTGTGTGATAGGCATGGTGGTAGGATTTATGAATTTAGAGTGATTCAGGAAGAGGTTCCCAGAGGAGGCAAGTTTTGACATATAATTTAAAAGATGGAAAGGTTGTTCTGTGGTCCACAGGACTTGGAAAGCTATTCATTCTCGTCTCAGCAAATAAGAGCCTGGGGAGGGCTGGCCACAGGGTGTACCTGTCTGGCATCAGAGGCTCAGGCTTAGTGCCAGGCAGTTAAAAATAAGAAGGGTACAGAGGACTGGGATTGCAAGCTCTGGGTCTTCAGTCCCTTTCTCCAATCTTAAATAAAGCCAACAGAAGACCTTCCATTCAGCTGGCTTCTTCCTGCCACCATGAAGACAGCTGAGAAGCAGCAGAGATTTTAGAGACAGCTGAACCACTGCATCTGCCAGTTCAACTAAGATCCAAAGACTCTAGAAATAGAGCTACCCTAGGTCCCAGGTCTCATTTCTCATTTCTTGCCCTGGGTCAGGCAGAGTAATGATCAGTCTGCTAATTCTAATCTGTCAGAAGGCAGTCTGGTGGGATGGAAGTTTATGGACTCTGGAAGCAAGGAATTGTAGGTCTAATCCTAGCTCTGCCAGTTTATAGCTGTGTGACCTAAAATTCTGAACCTCTCTGGGCCTGACTTTATTATCTATTGACAAATATTTACTGAGGGACAAGTACATGCCAGTCACAGAAGATTTAGGGTGAAAAAAAATTCTTCAAAAAGCTCATTTATAAAACTGAGTTTATTACATTCTCATCAGGAATTTGTCATGAGGATAAAAGGAACTAATAGTTTTATGATGACTAGGCACATTCTAGTTCAGGAAATGTTACTTCCTCCCACTAGATCAAGCTCTTATAAAGAATAATGGCAATTATATTAATATTACTCTTACTTTCTAGAGCAGAGTTTAACAACCTCACCTTATCTATAACAATGTTAATTTATTTTCTTTTACTATACAGGTATTTCATAGTGAAAAAGTTCTCATGAAAAGAACATGGAGAGAAGCTGAAGCGTTTTGCGAAGAATTTGGAGCTCATCTTGCAAGCTTTGCCCATATTGAGGAAGAGAATTTTGTGAATGAGCTCTTACATTCAAAATTTAATGGGTAAATACTTCTTAATTATGAAAAATTACAGTCAAATATTCTCTCTCTCAGTAATGGCTTCTGAGGGGTGAGTATCCCAAGTAGTTGTTTAAAATTCCCATATTTATATTACACCCAAAGCCAAGAAAAATAAATATATATATGGTTTTATATTTATCTTGTACCAGATTCTCATTTCATAAAACAAAGAACAAAGTGACAATTGTTTAGATATTTGAAATCTTTTCTTTGTGCCTCAAGTCAGAACTGTAGAGCTTTCCTGCCAAACTCAGGAATTATCTACCCCAGCGGTTTTCAAAGTATTGTGGAAGGATCCCAAGAATCTTGGAACCCCAGGAGTATGAGAGGGCCATGTAGGCAGAGCTCCTGGTTCCTTCCACGCCTCACCAGAGCAGCTCCAACCAGCTCCACTGCTGATTATTTTGTATATAATTCGATCCTATGTAAGATTTTGTTTGGAAAAAAAAAAAAAAAGAGTCCCAGTAATTTTTTTTTTAATTCCAACCCAACCTCCTAAGTTTTTGTTTGAGGAAACAAACTTTCTCTTATCTGTATCCACCTTGCAAGTTTACAGAACCTTGAATTCAGTGGAGTTAGAAACTCAAGCTTAAATTGGAAGAACTCTAAACTGTCTTGTGCTACCTCCCACCACGTACCGTGGTCATCCGCTGTCTGCATAATTCCTTCCAATTTCAGAATGCTTCTTATTTGGGAGAAAGCCCATTCCATTGCAGAAGGTTGGTTTCAAAGAGCAGTTTTCTAATAAGCTAGAAATCTGCCTCCCCTCAATTTGAGCTAGAGCAGATACAGATCAAATCTATGTTATTTTCAAATATTTGAAGACAGTCATCTTGTCCCCTTCCTGTGAACCCCCCACTCCCCACTTTGGCCTCTCACTTTGGAATGTTCTGTCAGTCAGCCTGCACTGTGAGAGTATCTTCTGTGGAAGATACATGCATTACATGCATAGCTGGTTGGAGAATTCAATAGATGTGACAGACAAAATCCTGCCTCTGAGGATGTTGTGATCAGCACAACTCCATGACTCTGTATATTTATTTAATGAAAACAACTATAATAATAAGTACTCTGCTTCGAGCTCTGGAAATCTGAAGTCTCAATGAAACACTGGCCTGAATCCCAGAGAAAAATCCCGTACTATTTTTTGAGGAAAATCCTCCTCGCCTTTCCCACAAGTTTCCTTGTGGGACATTCCCATGAAAAGATTAACATGCAAATCTAGCAAATTATTCATCTTCCACATCTACAACAATGACCTTAAAGCTGGGAGTTTTTGACATCTCTCCATGTGAGTCTTGTGCAGCATTCTGCAGGGAAGGAAGGAGATTTTATGGTAAAATATGTTTGCAAAACAATGTACAATCTTGGAGATTTGCCATGTACATTAGCGTCATAAAGGGTTCTAGAAGGAAGCACTTTCTTTGACCACAAATCCCTTTTTTTTTTTTTTTTTTTAACAAAAGTTTATTCTTAAATGTACAACAGCTCCAAGACAACACTTAATTCCAGCTTTAGGTGGCAAAAGATGTTATGGCAGGGAATATAGACGTTTAAATAAGGATGAAATAAAGGGTCACCATCTCCTCAGGCACAAGGAACAGCTTACTTTTTGCCAGATTTCTTAATTCCACCTGTGGCCAAGGGCCCCTTCCCCGCGGCCTTCGCTTTTAGCTCCTCGAGTTTCTTCTGTTCCTCTTTTTGTTTCTGCTTGAAAGCCTTATCTTCCTCGTCCATCTCCTTGACCTGCTTCTTAGGCTGTTTCAGTGGCTTCTTTTTGCCACCTTCGCGGCTGGACATGGCGCCTGCCGCCCCTTCCCCAGACCCTGCCCCACAAATCCCTTTTTTAAGAACACTTATTGACATCCCACAGAACTGCTAGTCCCTAAGGGAAATGCTGACATGAGGCCATGACTCAGGAACCTGGCTCCTCATCACACTTGGTCGGGACGCCTTTTTTACAAAGCTTTCTGGCCTCACACCAAAGCTGCTGAGTCAGACTCTGAGTCTGAAGAAAAGTTTAAGAAGCTTCCTGGCTAATTGGATTATCAGCCAGGTCTGAGGCCATAAATCCAAGGAATAGGTGATAGTCTCCATTGTTCAAAGTTACATTTTACTTCATTACTTTAGCTTCCTGGAAAACATATTTGCATATTCTGCCTTTGCATTTTAGTGAGGTTTGCCATATAACAACCACACACAAACTGCTTCCCGGTTTGCTTTAAGATCAAATGTCACTGTCATTTCTGTTTATATAAGTTCTCATGCTTAAAATGTCTCGTAGAATTTAGTCCCAAGCATCTATCAAATCATAGTTTTTCAATATCTGATCACAAAAGCCGTATAATATGAGCCAGGCACAGTGGGTCACAGCACTTTGGGACACTAAGGTGGAAGGAACACTGAAGGCCAGGAATTCAAGATCAGCCTAGGCAGCATAGTGAGACTCAGTTTCTACCAAAAAAATTTCACAATTAGCTGGGTGTGGTGGCCACGCCTGTAGTCCCAGCAAAACCTAGTTCGAAGTTACAGTGAGGTATGATTTTGCCACTGCACTCCAGCTGGGCAACAGAGCGAGAACCATCTTTAAAGAAAATATTTAAAAATTCTTGACTGGGCGCAGTTTAGTAATTGCTACAATTACTCACACCTGTAATTGTAGCACTTTGAGAGGCCAAGGCAGATTGCTTGAGCCCAGGAGTTAGAGAACAGCCTGGGAAACATGGTAAAAACCCCATCTCTACCAAAAAAATACAAAAAAAAAAAAAAAATAGCCAGGTGTAGTGGCACACATCTGTAGTACCAGCTCAGGAGACTGAGCTGAGGTAGGAGTATCAGTTGAGTCCAGGAAGAGGAGGTTGCAGTGAGCCAAGATTGTGCCACTATACTCCAGCCTGGGTGACAGTGTGACCCTGTCTCAAAAAAAAAAAAAAAAATTATCAATAACTGTGTATATTTCACTTTATTCCCAGATTACCAGAGAATTCAGTCAAATCTGATGCTTAATTATAGCAAACATACCAGATCTCATAGTTAGCAGCTATAGCAGGTATGCTGCTTTTCCTTCCTATGGCACTGCTTTTCTATTTCTATTTTATTAGTCAGACATACACACACACACACACGTATGCACATACATGTGTGTTTATTAAATGTCATACAATTTCAGGAAACTGATGAAGAGAAAGTAAATACCATTTCATCTTCCAGGAGCCAGTATATAGCAGGGAAGACATAGATCTCTGAATTCAGTGAGGAAAGACAAAGGTCACAACACCAGGAGAGTGACATGGATTTTCAGCCTATGCCATGGAGATTAGTGTGCTTGGCTTAAACAGAAGGTGGCCATTCTCACCTTCTCCCAACCTTCAATGTAAAGTGTCATCATGACAGTGCCCAGCTGGGCACCAGTGATCTCTTGGATTTCTAAGCTGAATTTGCTTTTAATTTGTGTCATCCAGGCAGAGTAGCTGACACATCTGAGAAGGAATTCCTCAGAATAGGTTTGCTTCTCTGCACGAAGGAAAATAAAGTATCTTTCCTGACATCTGAATCTTTTAAATCTTTGATTCTTAAAAGTTATTCTCAGAAAATGATCTTAGTGAGATGGTTCATTGCACAATTAGGCTTTATTACTCGATTGATTGAGGACTCTGTGGATACATTTGTACTCTGCCTCATAGAGGGGAAGGTGACTGTCTGTGGAGCTTCTCGCCAAGTCTAAACCAATGGTGATGACTGAAGTTAATCTACCATGGCTCAGGGTGACTGCCTTTAGAATTATTTATGTTGATATCTGAAAAAAAAAACCAAAAACAAAACCTGTGTACCTTTTATTCAATGAAGATGATGATGGCTGACTTTCAGAGAATACATGAACGTTTAACAAAAGAACAACAAATCAAAGCATAGTAAAGTAGAAAAAATAGTATAGTGAGGTAGTAAACACACAGTAAAGTAGCGAAAGGTCCTCTTGGCTAGAGATGTTCCAAAATTTCTTACCAATTTTCTTTTCATGTGTTCTTGTCCCGACTGAAAGGCTTTGCTATTCCTGATGAGAAACTCATGTTCTCAATAAAAGCTGACTTTTCCCCAACTGTATATCACCTGTGAGCAAACCACACAAACCAAGAGAAATAGAATGTGAGGCTTATTCTTCTCTCGGTTCATGTCATAGCACAGCGTTTTGCACATTTAAAATGTTCATTGCTTGTTGACTTGATCAATCCTGCCAGTAGCATCAGCTGTTTCCTGCATACATAAATATTTTTGAATATTTTTTTAACCTTTCACATAATGCTGTAAATTTGATGGGAAAGGCAAAGCTTTTGTTTCTTCTCTTCACAGGACAGAAGAAAGGCAGTTCTGGATTGGATTTAATAAACGAAACCCACTGAATGCTGGCTCGTGGGAGTGGTCTGATAGAACTCCTGTAAGTCTTTTCAAACTGGAGAAAAGGGATGGATTCAAAACAAGTGGCCCCAGAACCACGTGGTAAACCAAGAGAACCTAGAAATGATGGTCAGAGCTCCCATGACAAAACTGCACCAGACCTTGGTACCAGGAGAATTATTTGGCAAGGTCCTGGGAAATGTTTGCTAGCTACATTGTTCTGAGGCCATTATACAATCTCAGCCTGAAAAAGTATCAAAAACCTCCAAAAAGTCTCCCCAAACCATCCTGAAAAAGAATAAAAAACCTCCAAAAAGTCCCCCCCCAAACCATCTCCCATATGAAGAGTCTCTCTGGCAGAGAAGCAGCTATTCTTTTAAATAACACAAGACTCCCTTTACCCTGTACCTCCCTATCCTGCATAGCACCTGATGTCTGAGTATGGGAACTTTGTCCATGTCATAATGAAAGGAAGATTATTTTGGAGAATGATTTTTCATTTACCTCACTCTGAAAGGACAGTAATGCAAGTTTTAGAAATATCACCTTCTAGAGCAAGTTGTTCCAGAAGGAAAAAAGTCTTGCTTTTCATTCATTCCCATACTTGCAAACGTCCATGAAGGACAGAGAGAACTCACTATTGCATTTTTTTTTTCAGTTGCAATCGGTAATTCTCACATTTTTCTCAAAATGACAGGGGAAAAAACTGAAGCAGTATCCTAGATTGAAGTGGGATCCATCCTACGTCACATGAAAAATCACATTATTCACTTTCACCTGTGAAGTGGGGCGACTCCTGAGAGACCGCAGTGAGCACTTAATGCAACTGCTGTCGATTGAGTCCTCATGTTGTTCTGAGCACCGAGCTGAATGCACTCCTACATGATCTCGTTTCATCCTTACAATAACTCAGTGTCATGGGTATTAGAATGATTAAGTGGTTTGCCTAAAATAATACATAGGAGAGCCAGAATTTGCACACAGGTTGTCTGACTCCAAAGTCACAATGCTATAATATCTCATGGTTGGCAAAATATCAGTAGCCAAACTTTGAAGTAGTAAAGAACAGTAGAGAAAGCCCCATACCAAGGTGGTGTTCAAATTAGTGTCAAGGAAGAGGTTTATAGGAGAGAGTAGGAAGAGATTTTAAAGATCATTCAGCCCCACTAATCTATTTTGCTGATAAAGAAACCAAGGCTCAGAAAACAGAAAAGGCATAGCAGGGTTAACTTGCCCCATAAATGGCAGCCACTACATGGGACAGCTGGGTGGTTCAAGTCAATGTAGCACTTGAAAAAGAAAATGTGATACATAGAGGTTGAGAACACTTCCTTTTGTTTTAGTGTAACAAACTCATTAGTAATAGGAGAGGAATAGACAATCTGGGTCAGAATAAATTAGATAAGGCCATGAAGCAGTGGCCGAGCTTCTCCAATATCTGCTGGACAAAATGAATTCAAATCACACCATTTTCTGAACCTGAGGCTATACATATTTAAGATAGATGAATTATTGCATGACGGTGTACATGTTTGAGGAGGAACATAAGGGATTTAAAAGCATCCTTTTTTCCCCCAAATTTTTACCCCAATTTTACTTGTTGTCCATCCATTCTTCTGCGGAGTAGTCATTAAATAATTGAGAAGGTTGAGTCTTTAATACCCTTGTAATGTGAATTACATGAGTTATGTGGTCATTCATGGAAAGTGACCTGATAGATTCCTGATTAAAGCTAACTATGGCTCAGAATTTAGTTATTAGAGGCAAAAAACTTAGCATATGTTCAAAGTAATCAAAATCAAAGTTAATACCAAGATCTGGCACACCCTTGAGTCCCTAAGTCTACCCAGGATCCCAAGGCTAGAAAATGTTCCCAGTTGGAAAAAGGTGCAAAAAAAAGCTTGCGTTTCATTTGTTCCTTCTGTAGAAAGGAGTAGCGTACCTTTTTTTATTTTTCTTTTATTTATTTATTTATTTATTTATTTATTTATTTGAGACAGAGTCTTGTTCTGTCACCCAGGATGGAGTGCGGTGGCGCGATCTCTGTTCATTGCAAGCTCCGCCTCCCGGGTTCACGCCATTCTCCTGCCTCAGCCTCCCCGAGTAGCTGGGACTACAGGCACCCGCCACCTCGCCCGGCTAATTTTTTGTTTTTGTATTTTTAATAGAGACAGGTTTTCACCGTGTTAGCCAGGATGGTCTCAATCTCCTGACCTTGTGATCCGCCCGCCTCGGCCTCCCAAAGTGCTGGGATTATAGGCATTAGACACCACGTCCGGCTTTTTTTTTTTTTTTTAAGCATCTTTAAATTTAAAAAGCTAAATATTGATTAGCTTGTTCTTCACAAATGTGAAATAACCTTCAACTAGAATGGCATCCAGACATTTCTAAAGCTTCCTGTAGAAGCCTATAATGCTTATGTACAGGGATGCCCTTTTTGATCTTTTGAAACTTTGTGGGGTGATCATCATTAAGAAATAATGAACTTCATCTGCTGCAGGTTGTCTCTTCGTTTTTAGACAATAATTATTTAGGAGAAGATGCAAGAAACTGTGCTGTTTACAAGGCAAACAAAACATTGCTGCCCTTACACTGTGGTTCCAAGCGTGAATGGATATGCAAAATCCCAAGAGGTAAAAATAGTAATAAGATCTTTGCTATGTGTTTGATTTCTAATAATCTCTAGTACTTTCTCAGTTTAAACACCCCAAACCACAATATCAACAATCTGCATGATAAACCAAATTACACTATTTTAGCAGAAAAATGTTTCTATACGAAATGAGAAAAAGCAACACCAATGCAGGATGCCAAGGTAGTTCACTGGGAACCGAGGTAACCAGCTAATATTGCAGAATATTTATAGCGCAAGTATAGTCCGGGAGAAATGTCACTTTGACATTACAAAGTAAACGGAATTACTTGTACAATGAGTAAGTGGAAGCACCTAGTACAGTGTGTGACACACAGTGGCCTCAGCAAGTGTTCATGTCCTTCGTTCTTTAATCAGAAGCCTCTCTGGAGCCTCCTCTTCAAGTGTGAGAACTCACCACATATTCCAAACAGCACAATGTACCTGTTTTAAAGTGATATTTTAAAAGATGAAGGACAAAATAATGTGTTTAGAGCTGAAGTAATTCATAGACAATGCACTTGAGAAGCAAGATCAGTCAAAGTGATTTGCTTTCACTTTGCAGATGTGAAACCCAAGATTCCCTTCTGGTACCAGTACGGTAAGAACGACTCTGCAGCTCTTGAATTTCTAATTATTAATGTATACCATATAAGTGCTACTGTATAGCATTAATGTGTTATTATATTTCTCAAATCAAGCCTCTCCTTTCTTGTGTCAACCTCGAGCTAATTTGTTCAAATTAATAATTAATAAATGTAGTCATTAAATATGGTTAAGGACTAGTATCGTCAATCATTTTTATGACATGTGGTTTTAGAATATGTATCTATCCATGATCATTTAATCCTGGTGAAGGTATCTTGCAAGAGATAGACCAAGGAAAAAAAGCAAGTTATTTATCTATTTATGTGCATGTGTCTGTGTGTGTGTGCGGTGTGTGTGTGTGCAAATTTGTGTGTGTGTGTAGATACAATTATGTTTAATGCTGAGTGACCAAATCACAAATTTGGGGTGAATCCTAGCATGCCTATTTATCTTTTCGGCATTATTCTCACTGTTTCTTTTTCTTTCAGATGTACCCTGGCTCTTTTATCAGGATGCAGAATACCTTTTTCATACCTTTGCCTCAGAATGGTCGAATTTTGGGTTTGTCTGTAGCTGGCTGCACAGTGATCTTCTTACAATTCATTCTGCACATGAGCAAGAATTCATCCACAGCAAAATAAAAGCGGTACTTGAACATAACTCACCCGGAGGGAGGGATGGTTTTCTCGGTTTGACTTCAGATATTTATTTAAATTTCAGTAAAAGCCATAGATTTCAGTAAAACCATAGATTTTTGAGAATTTTTTTTTCTGTTATAGAGATTAAGAGAAAATAATGGAGATACAGATTTACTGTATTGCTCAGTCACTTCCCTCCTCTTCACTCTTTGTTAGCAATAATGGTGAGCATGTCGAGATTGTTTCATGAGGTTCTACAGACCCAAATTCCTATCTTCATAGAGTTTATATTCTCGTCTGGGAAGAAAGACCATAATCAATACGAGTAAATAGAATTATATAATATATTAGAAAAAAATAAGTGGATAAACACCACAGGGGAAAATTAAGCTCAAATGAGAGATGAGGAACACCCAGGGGGTGCCTGGCAGTTTTAAAGCTTCAAATCTTACAAGAGTACATTATTTTTAAGTTGGTAAAGACTAATATACAGAAAATAGTAAGGAGTAGTTTTCTATTTCAACTTAAGCTAGAGAAAGTCTACTTAATTCCTTGCAGAACTAAGTTAGTAAGAAAGAAACATGCAAGACCTATTTAATAATAAAATAAACTGGCCAAGAATAGTGTACTTGTCAGTGTGTTCCTTCAGTAAGCATTCATTAGCAACTATGTGCCAGGCACTGGGGTATTTGTCAAAGATGCAAAAATGTATGAGATACAGTCTCTGTTTTTAAAAAGACTGGATATATATACTTTAAAACATCGTGTTGTAGACAATAAATATGTACAATTTTATCTGTCCATTTTTAAAACATAAATTAAATTTAAAAAATAAAGAAGCTGGAAGTGATATGATGTAGTAAATAGAAAGGGCACAGAGAGTACAAATTACAGTGGAGGCATGAAGGCAGGAAAACCTCACTCCCAACTTTCCCTTGGAAGCTTTGAAAGCAAGAAAAAGCCATTTTCTTTTCCTGTAATTTAATCATATTTCATGATCTTCAGGAATCCCTTCTAGCCCTATCATCTTTTTATATCTTTGTAAGTTGACTATAAAATGAAGCCCTGTATTAAAGCATCCTAGACTTGAAAAAGAAATGTCTTTCCTCACAGTTCGTGGGGATTTACTGTCTCTGTATCCCGTCTGTTGTACAGCCCATGAGATACAAGCAGGTCAGGACTCCTGCTACATTCTGATGGAGAAGCCAAGAAAAAGAGAAGTTAGATGACAATCATGTGGTCCCACAGACACTCAGTGGCAGAACAACCACTAGATCTGGAATGTTCCCTATCATAAATTTGTACACTATTTTGTCACCCTTCCACTCTTACAAATGGAACACTCAAGCCAAAATCATAATGTTCAATATGAGCATGTTCAATTCCATATCATGGTGTCGGAAAATACACATTTCTTTAGCCAGACACCATACTCCTCACCTCAGAGGGCAATAACAAGAGACCAGATGAATGGCTGAAAACTAATCCATAGGCATGCAAAGTATACATCCCCAAAAGAGCTGATATTTGGCCATACTTACCATAACCGTGTCAGGTACTATAATAAGTACTAAAATGTAATCTTCCCAAGAACCCTCTGCGGGAAGTCTATTATTAGTACATTTTACAAGTGAGGAGGCTAAGACTTCAAAGAGGTTAAGCAACTTGGTTACACAGCAGCTAAGTGGTGGAATTTGGAAAGAAACCCAGGCCATCTTACTTATCCAGTCATTTAAAAACCCTACACGGTGCTGCCTGTGACAGTGGAACAGCGGTGTCAGGGCATGTAAGAGCACGATGTCTTCATTACATCAAAATGCTAGTTCCAAAATCCTCCCCAAAACATGACTGCCAGCTTTGTCTCAGACGTGAACAATGAAGGGCTTCTTTGATCTTTCCAACGGAGCTTAGCTCTGCTGGGAACTTCAGTAGATCTTCTGTCTTCACCTTTCCTCTTAATTCATCTCCTAATCTTTGGAAGCTGGGAAGCCAGTGGGGATGGCAGAGTTAATGCCTCCCATAGAAGGGAAGAGTGAAAACCCACAGGCTGAGCAGTTTGATTCATCATAGCCACTGCCATGATCTAGTTGAGGATTCTGCTCTCAAATCAGACAAACTTTATGGTGCCTCATATGGCAAAATTGTCACCTGGCCTGTGACCATGTTGATGTAGAATGCCCCATCAGTTTCATGGGTAAGGTGCTGACTAATCTCCCCACTGTGTTACAAAAGAAAATTATGGGAAGGTATAGGATTTGAATACTGAGAATGGGACCGGGGGGACTGTCCTAGTCTTTTCAGGCTGCTATAACAAAACACTATAGACTACGCAGTTTACAAACAACAGAAAATTATTGCTCACATTTCTGGAGGCTGGAAACTCAAGATCTTGGCACTGGCCGACTTGATACCTGGTGAATGCCCACTTCCTGGTTCATATATATACTTATAGAGTGGAAGGGGCAAAGGAACTTTCCAGAGCCCCCTTCTAAGGGCACTAATCCTATTCATGAGACGCCCCCCACAGCCATCATGACCTTATCACCTGCCACTTGCCTTGTAATATATCACCTTGAGAGTTAGGATTTCAATATGTAAATTTTAGGGGGACACAAACATTTAGTCTATAGCAGGGTCCAAGGGGAAAGGATATCAAATTGGAAAGAAGAAAGTTGTAGCTTTCCAAGAAATTCTTATTTGTGCATAATTTGTGCCTACCTTGGGCACTTAATGGTGGTGGTGGTGATAGTGGTGTTCACATTTTGTAAGAAAGAAACCCTATACCTAAGAACATTCTACTGGAATGGGTCAATCCAGAAGTTATTTCATTCCATGACGAGGAGCAAGATGTGTAGAGATCATTCCACTCACTTCTGTCTCACATCTATCTTATAAATGTAGAAAGAGCACAAATAAATAATTAAATATTTTTAAAATTACATATGTGCTTTGTATGGCTCCCCTAAAAAGAGCAGTGATTAGAATTGTGAAAAACAAAACTAACATTTAGTTGCAGTGTCAAAAAATTAATTATGAGCAAGAAAGCTAGATACAATTTTAAAAACCCGAAGCAAATAAATTTTAATAAAATGTTTCCATCTTGGAAAAAGAATGTCAATTTTTCTCTCCCACTCTTTGAGTAACAGAAGACCGTAAAGCATAATCAGAGTGAATTTATTTTTTGAGCCATCTTGATAATCACATTAATGCTGAAAAAAAGCTGCAAGCACTTTAGGACTTGTCTAACACAAACTACTAGCTAATTAGTCCACTTGTCTGACATTTTTACACCGTTCTGCAGTGTTGTCATTTTGAAATGGCAATTTACCATTATTATTAAATTTTTATTTCTAAATGCTTCTTATAATACATATCAAATCTATTAGTCCTTCTCCAAAATATCATCTTGTCATTCTTGATGGGAGCATTTTAAAAGATGACAGGTTGTTCTTCCTTATATTGCTTTATGGATTAATGTATTGACTGTCACTGTGGGGTTTTGTTTGTTTGTTTTTGGTAAATGCTGTTTCCATATGATGCTAATTATAATGGCTGTTTGTATATACCAAAACATAGTTGATGTTATATAACGCATGTTCATATGACATTTTTTAAGCCCTGAGCTTACTTCTCTATCACATTTCTTTATGCAAACACGTATTAATAAGTCTTCTATTGTTGTGGCCTTCCTAAGCTAAAATTTCAAACATCCGTTTTCACATTAGATGTTCCATTCTGGATATCTTTTAGCATCTCCTATGAAGTTCAGTTCTGTGCCATATCACAACAGGTTGTGATGTGCCATGTGGAGGTTACCATGCCATCATTGAGGTGGTAATAAATATGCCACTTAAGATGCAGCGGTTATAATTCCTCTTTAGAGGTCCTTAATTGGGGCAGTGAACAATCTAGGCCATGATTTCCAGTCCTGTGGCACATGAAACCTCTTTAGATTGAACGATTGAATGAAATTGTTGTGGTTCCCCCACTGAGTTCACAGCCAGTCTCAGTGGACCCATTCCAAAGTCTGACAATGGGAATCTGAATTCAGCCTGTAAGAACACGTCCAGGAAACAACACCTCAGGGATCCAAAATTACAGTTGTTCCATCTTGCATTATTCTCAAATTGCTGATATGACGAACAGCCATGCTGTTTACAGAAGAAAAATACCTGTTTATAAATTAGATTGTTAGAGGACTATTGGGTTCTGTTGTATGGAGAGCTGAAATTCCTGTGGAAAAATAATATATCTTAACATTTCTTCCCATGTCTTTACAGAAGAAATGAGAGTACAAATTTAAATATATAATGCCTTCAAATTAACAGGATTTTTGCATATAAAAATTAAGTTACAATTCAACATACACCACCCACACACCCCTCCACCATTAAGTATACTGATTTACAGGTCTTAGAAAAACCCTTACTGCCTCTTCCTCTTTTATAGTTAAAGAGGGAATTGCAATTTCCTGGGTCATAAGTCAGTACATCTGCCCTAACGTGTGTGTGTGTGCGTGCGTGCGTGTGTGTGTGCGTGCACACACGCACATGTGTGCAGATGCATGCACATGGTACTTTAATTTTATACTTTATTGTACTTAGGTCCAAGTGATTACTAATGGTGTAAAATTAATAAAATGTAAAAGGATTATTTTCCTTTTGTTATTGTTGTTCGAGTCTTCTATTTCCTTACTAATTTTTACTACCTTTATTCTGAACACTACAACATTGCTAATACAATCTTAGATTAAATGGGATTTTTTATTGATGATAACTATATCACTCTGTTAACATAGAATTTATAATCTATTAAAATTCCAATTTTTTGTTAAACAGTTTAATTTTATATAAAAAAGTACATATTTTGAAATGTGTCTATGCTGACACATATAAATCTGGTTCCTTTTTTATTATTATACTTTAAGTTCTGGGATACATGTGCAGAGCATGCAGGTTTGTTACATAGGTATATATGTGCCATGGTAGTTTGCTGCACCCATCAACCCGTCATCTACGTTAGGTATTTCTCCTAATGCTATCCCTCCCCCAGCCCCCTACCCCCCAACAGGCCCCAGTGTGTGATGTTCCCCTCCCTGCGTCCATGTGTTCTCATTTTTCAACTCCCACTTATGAGTGACAACATGTGGTGTTTGGTTTTCTTTTCCTGGGTCAGTTTGCTGAGAATCATGGTTTCCAGCTTCATCCATGTCCCTGCAAAGGACATGAATTCATCAAAAGGATAATTTTCTAGTTGTCAAACACTGGGCGTTCTGTAGTATTCTTTTGTCCTATATTGTGTCTCTCTATTTGAATGGGAAGGAAAGCTTATACTGTTTAAAGCTTAGCAATCAGACTAATACCTAAAATCAGTATCTTTACACTAATGATGCCTTGATACCTTAAATTGTTTTTCAAATACATGTGACATATGCAATGAATTATAAATCACCGAGACGGTAAATCACTGAGAGGATAAGCCAATAAATTTTTATCAGAAAATGAATTCATTTTCTAATATTACTTTTTAAATCTTTCTTAGAGAGTTAGAAACATTACTTTTCAAGTTGTATGAAACTAAAGTTATTTTCCATGTTTGATTCCAGTTTTTCTTCATAACGAGGAGGGGATATTTTAGAATAATGCAGTTTCAGGTTTTCTCAAGATGCTAGGCCTTAGTATACTCTTCCTTAGATAACTGGGTAAAATACTGAAGAATAGAAAGCCACTAGCAGCAACCCCATTAATCTTAATAGTGAAAAAGGAAAACAAGTAGAATAAATGCTGACTTTTTAAATTTCTTTTAATAGCTATCAAAGTATGGTGCAAGCTGGTGGATTGGACTTCAAGAAGAAAGAGCCAATGATGAATTTCGGTATGAACCTAGATTCATTTGCATTTAATTTTGTTTGACAGGTTTTATTTGCAGAATGATTGGATTCAATTTTAGTGATCAATTTGTTGAATACCCTTCAAACGTTAACTTATAAATTTTCACTTCTCTAACAAAGACGTGAGAGGTTTTTAAAGAATACACTTATGAAACCATCACGACAATCTAGCCATAAACTTATCCATCACTTCCAAAAGCTTTCTCTCCTGCTCTGTTCATTTATTTATTTATTCACTAATTCATTCATTTTTGTGATGAGAACGCTTAACATAAAATCTACCCTCTTAGCTGGGCGTGGTGGTTCACACCTGTAATCCCAGCACTTTGGGAGGCCAAGGTGGGCGGATCGCCTGAGGTCAGGCGTTCGACACCAGGCCAACATGGAGAAACCCCGTCTCTACTAAAAATACAAAAATTAGCCAGGCGTGGTGTGATGCACACCTGTAGTCCCAGCTACTTGAGGGGGCTGAGGCAGGTGAATCGCTTGAACCCAAGAGGCAGAGGCTGCAGTGAGCCGAGATCGTGCCACTGCACTCAGCCTGGGTGACAGAGCGAGACTCCATCTCAAAAAAATATCTACTCCCTTAGAAAAATTTTAAGGATATGATACAATATTGTTAATTATAGGCACTATGCTGCATATGAGTATTTTTTTAATTTAATAGAATATTATATCCTCAATCCCTACCTCAGAATGCTAAGAATGATGTTGGAGACTGGACATGCAGAATGAGAGAAGACCTTAACATTTTTAATCTTCCCACAGCTGGAGAGATGGAACACCAGTGATATACCAGAATTGGGACACGGGAAGAGAAAGAACTGTGAATAATCAGAGCCAGAGATGTGGCTTTATTTCTTCTATAACAGGTTATTTTACTTACCCATTTTTGGGTTTATAATACAAACTGATAATTTTCAGGAGACTTAAAGTCTTTTCCTTGCATCATTTCCATGAGAAGTTTCTGTTTATTTCTCTTTTCAGTTGATGTGTTCAGTTTTGTCTGCCATAAGGCTTAAGGATGGACATTTTTTCTGTTCAATCCATGTATTCATGTTCTCGGAAATAATTTACATCTGAATAAGTCCTTCCTCATAAATCAAAACAGCACCAGAAATGGGCCCAATAAAACTGTTTTAAAAAAAAATGCCTGACAAATACTTTTCCCTATGACATTTCAATGGAAGCACTTAAAAAAAAAAAAATCTATTCCTATATGCAATTTATAATGGGCCAGAACTTTAACATCTGTGAAATTTACTTCCATTGTCCTATTTAATAAATGTTTTGATTCAAGTCAGTATTCTTTTTTTCTGTTAATACCTGGCATCAATCGTTGCCTGCTTTAGAATGGCAACTGTTTGCAAGTTGGATTTAGAAGCACATTTAGGTTGAAGATTGGTTTTTTAAATTCTCTTCCTCAGTGCAGTGTAGTTAGGTTGATTGTCCACTCATTCCCCTTCTTTCTAACCAATAAAAGATAATTGTATCTGTTACTCTAACAGATTCATAACTAAGCTGTGCCCCAGACCAGGAGAGGGATAAACATGGAAAATAATTTTGGGTTTGAGGGCCTCTGCAGAGAGTTAGGAAAGGAAAATCCATGTGGTTAATCAGCTTGCTTTTACCAGCAGGTGTCACAACAGCCTACAGAAAGGACTGTTTTGAGAGTCTGGGAGAATAGCAGCTAATCGGCATTGAAAATAGCATTCCAGCCCCTCCTTCAAAATGCCAACATCTTTTGGGCTCATATTCCTGATCTAGAAAACTGAGCCTGCCCTTGCAATTGGCATGCATTCTGCCCTGTTCTGGAATTTATGACTTGGATGCCAATACAATGCATTCTATAATCTTTATTCTGAAAATATAGCTCTTCTAAATTAAAAAAAAAAAAAAAGCAGGCAGTTTGTCGGAGGCTGAGGATTTGAGGATATATCTTACTGAAGACAAGTCTATATGTGAGTCTGTTTTATTTAAGGGTCAGTGTTAAGAAATGCTATTTTCTTGGAAGTTCTTGAGTTAATTTTTCTAAATTATTATATTTTCTAAAGAATTATAAAGTAGAAATTATCTACTGTTTTAGAATCTTTTTCCTCTCTGTACATTGAAGTTGAAGGTTTTAAAATGAAATTGTTACCCTACGAAGTATTCTTTTGCTACACAAGTCAAATACTCTTAAGATTTTAATCAGTTCTATGATTCAAATTGCAGTATTTATTTAGATTTTTTTAATTTGTAAAATTTCTACATTCTTAAATTAAAATTACTGATTTGGCCCCTTGCCCAGTTAACTGTTGTCCCTAGAGAAATCGGTCATCAGTAGTTTAGTTCAGTTTCTAGATTTTGAAAAATAAATTATGAAAAACCATAGCAGTCATAAAAATAGCAATCAATAGAGAATGCCTTCAAAGAATTGCCGTTGTTCCTAAACCATTTCTAACCCATTTTCTCCTCCAGGACTCTGGGGTAGTGAAGAGTGTTCAGTTTCTATGCCTAGTATCTGTAAGAGAAAAAAGGTTTGGCTCATAGAGAAAAAGAAAGATACACCGAAACAACATGGAACGTGTCCCAAAGGATGGCTATATTTTAACTATAAGGTAAGCTTACTTTTCAAAAGTTGCCTTTGTTTCTCTTTTGTAGACGCTAATTTTGGAAAGTGTTCAAAAAGTGGAAGTGGCTTTAAAAGCTGGGAGTTGACTATAGGACCTGGAATTTTTGTGTCACAATTTTCAAGAAATTTTTCAAGAAATTTGAGTTTTCCATTTAGTAACAAATCTTTTGGAACAAAAAATTTTTGTCAAAAACAGCCTGGATCCTGCGCCTCATTTCTATACTCAGTTTTACCATTGGCATAGTCATTTATTGTGCTGTATGAATGTTCCATTAGGTGTGACATATGTATGTATGCATGCATGTGTGTGCATGTGTGTGCATGTGTGTGCACATGTGTATGTATGTGCCTGCATGCCTGTGTGTCTAGGTTCTGCTCCCAAATAAGCTGTAAATTTCAGAGGACCCAGACTCCAACTCCTACTCTTGTGTTTTCCCTGCCTGGAGCTGGCATACAGCTCTGCCCACTAGTGAATTGAGGGACTAATAACTTAGCTTGGTCAATGTCATCTGGAGCCTCATAAAGCTGGTGCTTCCATGCAGATTTGAATTAAGAAAAAGAAATTGCCAGTGGGGATATTTTAAACCAGATTTATTATTTCTGATGCTGCCTTCAATTAAGGCCTAGACTTTCCCTCCACTCCTCATATTTTATAATAAAATAACTTTGTAGGCCTTAGGTGGAAGTAATTAAAATGCATCCCAAATTATAATTGTTTAACTCTTAGAAAATTAAAAAACCCAAACTGTGTCATCATTTCATATGCTAATATGAAATTTCTCTTCAATTGTGGACAGCCAATTTTTAATCTAAGTGTTCAGTTATATTGGCAGGGCTTTCTCTCCTTTGTGATCTTCCTCCCATTGTTAATTTGAGAAATGAGGCCACTTGGATTTTTCACACATTCATTGAGTACCCACTAGATATTTGGCACTGATTTTTAATTTTTTAAATTTCTGGTAAATACAATATAGAATTCACCATTCTAGCCATTTTTGTTTACTGTTTACTAGTGTTAAGTGTCATATACTCACACTGTCTTTCAAAAAAGGCCTTTTCCATCTTGCAAAACTGAAACTCTACCCATTAAGCGACTCCCTGTTCTTCCTAGCCCGAACCCCTTGGCAACTACTGTTCTACTTTCTGTGTCTTTGAATTTGACCTCTTTAAATACCTTATGTAAGTGGAATCAGACAGTATTTGCCTTTTTGTGACTGGTTTATTTCACTTAGCATAATGCCCTCAAGGTTCATCAACACTGGCATGTGACAGGACTTCCTTTTGACGGTTGGACAATATTCCATTGGATGGATAGACTACATTTTGTTTATCCGTTCATCCATTGGTGGACATTTGGGTTACTTCCCCTCTTAGCTAATTGATTTTATGTGTATTTCTTGTATCACTGAATTTTAAAAATATATAGAATTACTATCCTCATTTTACATATGAGAAGACAGATGCTAACAAAATTGTGTGACTTTTCTGAAACTTCACAGTGAATAAGCATCAGACCAAGACGCACTTTTTGTTTTCTGACCCTGAGTCTGGTGGTCTTGCCCCTTTTCTACGCCTGCCACTTCACATTGGCACTTGAGGACTGCTACTCCAGAAATGCAAATTAAAACAACAATGAGTGATTTGCCACTACACAACTGCTAGAACGGCCCACATCCATAGCACTGACAACACTACGTACTGGCAAGGAAGCCGAACAACAGGAGCTCTCATTCACTCCTGGTGGGAATGCAGAATGGTACGGCCACTGTGGAAGACAGTTTGGCAGTTTCTTACAAAACTAAACATACTTTTACCGTTTGATCCAGCAATCACACTCCTTGGCATGTACCCAAAGGAGTAGAAAACTTATGTACACGTTAAAACCTGTCCATGGATATTTATAACATCTTTATTCTTAATTGCCAAAACTTGGAAACAATTAAGATGTCCCTAGTAGGTGAATGAATAAACTGGTACAACCACACAACGGAATATTACTCAGTGCTAAAAAGAAATTAGCCTTTAAAACACATGGAGAAAACTTAAATTCATATTACTAAGTGAAAGAAGCCAATCTGAAAAGCCTACAATACTGTATGATTCCAACTATATGACATTCTGGAAAAGACAAAACTAGAGAGACAGTAAAAAGATCAGTGGTTGCCAGGTGTTGCAGGAGGGAAGGATGAAGTTGTGGAAGATTCTTAGGGCAGTGAAAATTCTCTGTCTGATACCACAATGGTGGATGCATGTCATTAGACATTTGTACAGACTCATAGAATGTACAACACAAAGAATGAACCCTAATGTAAACTATGGACTTTGGGTGGTTATGATGTGTTAATGCAGGTTCATCAATTGTAACAGATGTACCATTCTGGGGTAATGGGATATGTTGATAATGGGGGAGGCTGTGTATGTGTGGATCAGGGAATATATGGAAATCTCTGTACCTTCCTTTTGTGTGTGTGTGTGTGTGTGTGTGTGTGTGACAGACTGTCACTCTGTCACCCAGGCTGGAGTGCAGTGGCATGATCTCGGCTCACTGCAACCTTCACCTCCCAGGTTCAAGTGATTCTCTTGCCTCAGCCTCGCAAGTAGCTGGGGTTACAGGTGCCTGCCAACATGCCCGACTGATTTTCGTATTTTTAGTAGAAACAGGGTTTCACCATGTTGGCCAGGCTGGTCTCGAACTCCTGACCTCAGGTGATCCGCCAGCCTCGGCCTCCCAAAGTTGTACCTTTACCTTCCTCTTAACTTTGCTGTGAACCTAAAACTGCTCTTTAAAACATGAAGTCTTTAATATTTTTTTAAACAAGAGTTGCCGTATCAGCTTAGCCTCATGGTACAATGAGCTCAGCAGCACTGTGAGATATTTTCTAGAGTGGTGTAATTGCACTCTAAAACTTTATGATAGTATTGAGGTATACTATTTTTTAGTCATTGATACTTTCTGCATACTTCCTATTTTCTGAAACTATAAAATCTTTCTACCAGGTATAAATTATTTTCACATTTCAGTATGAGAAACTTGTAGATAATATTCAATAAGACACTGAGTATTACTAAGTCTTTTATTAAAACCTTTGGCAATTAATTTTTTAAAGCATTTTTATGGTCATAAATAATGTGACATAAAATTTGCCATTTTAACCATTGTCAAGTGTACAATTCAATGGCATTAATTACATGCACAATGTTGTACAACCATCATCTCTATTTCCAAAACATTCTCACTATCCCAAACAGAAACCCTGTAACCATTAAGCACTAACTTCCTGTTCCCCATCCCCTGGTAACCTCTAATCTATTCTCTATCTCTATGAATGTGCTTATTCTAGATATCTCATATTAGTGAACTCATACAATATTTGTCCTTGTGTCTGGCCTATTCGCATGATGTTTTCAAGGTTCATTTGTGTTTTAGCATATATCAAAATTTCATTCCTTCTTGTGGCTGAATAATATTCCTGTGTGGCACAGGCGTGTGTGTGTGTGTGTGTGTGTGTGTGTGTGTGTGTGTGAATATTGCACATTTTGTTTATTCATTCATCTGTTGATGGACACTTGGGTTGTTTTCACCTTTTGACTATTGTGAACAATGCTTCAATGAACATTGGTATCTAAGTCTCTGTTTGAGTCCCTATTTTCAGTTCTTTTGAGTGTATACCTATGAATAGAATTGTTGGGTCATATGGTAACTCAGTAGTAAGCTGTTTGAGGAACTAACAAATGTTCTTCCACAGCGACCAAACCATTTTACAATCCTGCTAGCCGTGTGTGAGGGTTTCAATTTCTCCACATCCTTGCCAACACTGGCTATTATATGTCCATCCTAGAGCATGTTAAGTGTTATTTCATTGTGATTTTTATTTGCATTTCTCTATTATCTGATGAAGTTGAGCATCTTTTCATGTGCTTCTTAGCCATTTGTTTATCTTCTTTGGAAAAATGTCTATTAAAGTCCTTTGTCCATTTTTAAATTGGATCATTTGCCTTTTTATTGTTGAGTTATAGGAATGCCTTATATATTCTAAATATTAAACCCCTATCCAATATATGTTTATAAATATTTCCCTTCATTCTGTAGCTTGTCTTTTAACCTTCTTGATAATGTCCTTTGATGCACAAAAGATTCCAATTATCTACTTTTTGTTTTGTCACTTGTACTTTTGGTATCATACTTAAGAAATCACTGCCAAATCCAAGGTCATGAAAATTTGCGCCTGTGTGTTTGTCTAAGAGCTTTATGGTTTTAGCATTTATATTTAGGTTGTTGATCCATTTTGAATTCACTCCAGTATGTGACAATTAGTTTCTCACAACTGTTAGAACAAGTGTATCCTGGCATGGTCTCTAGGGAACAGGCATAAAGGAATGCCTAGCTAATCTCCAAATCACATTTCTGGTACAGATAGTGAACAACCCCAAAGCATGAACACACTGTTCTAGTTACTAACTCATGCCTCCTCTCATGTGTAAAATAGGATTTTTTTAATATACTTTAAGTTCTGGGGTACATGTGTAGAACGTGCAATTTTGTTACATAGGTATACACATGCCACAGTGGTTTGCTGCACCCATCAATCCATCATCTACATTAGGTATTTCTCCTAATGTTATCCCTCCCCTAGCCCCCCACCCCCCGACAGTCCCCAGTGTGTGCTGTTCCCTTCCCTATGTCCATGTGTTCTCATTGTTCAACTCCCAGTTATGAGTGAGAACATGCAGTGTTTGGTTTTCTGTTCTTGTGATAGTTTGCTGAGAATGATGGTTTCCAGCTTCATCCATGTCCCTGCAAAGGACATGAGCTCATCGTTTTTTGTGGCTGCGTAGTATTCCATGGTGCTTATGTGCCACATTTTCTTTATCCAGTCTATCATTGATGGACATTTGGGTTGGTTCCAAGTCTTTGCTATTGTGAATAGTGTTGCAATAAACATACGTGTGCATGTGTCTTTATAGTAGAATTATTTATAATCTCTT